TTTTTTTTTTTTTCAATTACTTCAATTTGTAGCCAAGTAAAAAGAGTATTAATTGTGGTTTTTGTTTTTTGCTTGCAAAATAAGCAAGTATTTTTTTTTTCTGCAAGAGAAAGAAAAAAGAAGGAAGGGAAGTGTAAACATGATGTGAACTATTTATTTTTTGAGGTCTGTTATCTATTTGTTGAATTGTTCGTTTGCAGTTTGGCTTTTATGTTCTTTCCATGTTTATTGTATGATTGTAAAACAATACCAGTTTTGTATATCGTAATTTTTTTTTTTGCTATTCTTTCTATCTTCCACGAACGACAACTGTTCCTTCCAGAATACTTTGTACTCTTATTTTTGATTGTTGGTCAAAGTTTATATGACAATTAAAATAATAATATAAATAACAAATAACAAAGGAAAAAAAAAATTGTAGTAATAATGACGATAATTATAATGCTGTTGATGTTCGTTTGATACAACAAACCCCTTTCACTTTCTTCCCACTTGTTCCAACGATCTATTGTTGCCAACCATTTTCTGATCATAAATACACCTATCATCAAAGCAACAACAGTGCTTGAATGCATGGTCACAAGTGGTGACGATGCTGTTAGCAATAACTGGTGAATGGATTTGTCGGTTTTGTTCTTCAATTGAAACAAACATTCGCCTGTCTTTGTTGGAACTTCCGCTTACTCCCCATTCCGCCCAATCCATTCACTTTCACCCCCCACCCCCTCCCCCCGGCAATCATGCAATATCAGCTATACTATGCTAAGACTTAGTCTAAAGGTTTCACTTCTATTAAGAGCAACAAATCTTATCTTTGTATTTATTATTCAAAAATTAAAGCTCAAAAAGAATTTTTTTTTTGCTTTTGAATACAATCATTGATCACCTATTGTTATTACAATTACATTAGAGTATACTTATCTGTAGCATATTTATTACAGTATTTTATTTGTTCTTTATGTTTGTTCTGTTGAGCTATTTCATTGAACTTAAAATACTGTCGTCCAAAGTGCTACAGTGTTTCTGATGAATGTCTATTGAAGGTTGTCGTTGAAACTCAACTTTTATTTACAAATTACTTAGGTGACAAAAATTATAATTATTTGTACTGATCTGAAGATTTCCTTCTGCGTTCCTTTGAACTCTTCAACAGCTTTGTAGTTCACCATCATTTTTTGAATAAAATCTTTTTTTTTTCCTTTCAGTTTCAGTATTTGATTTTTTTTCAAAGGAAAAAAATTAAATTAAAAATTTGATTTTTTTTTTTGTTACAATCATTGATGCACATATAAGGAATGTTGAAATGAATAATGGAACCGCGACTGATGATGAAAAAAAATTCAGGCGGTTCAGATTTTGGAAGCTAAAAGAAAAAAAAGACGACAAAGAAAACAAGGAGCAACCAACAATAATATCAGAAAAAAAGGCTACAGTTAGTGCCCTTTATTAAACTAATTTTAGCAGTTAACTAATTTACTTTGTAGTTTAACATTTTTCGTTTAAAAAAATGAA